TTTGTGGGGTATGGGACACAAAAGTATTGGTTTCCTCGGGCATTTGCCAAGCTGGACCCTCAACCCTAAGCCCTAACTGTGCCTAAGATTGTTGATTTGAAAGGGAAGTGGTCATTGGGTCAACAGGCGCATGCGAGAAGTGTGGTGTAGGAAGTATTTCATGGGATCTAGGGTTCTGGGTTTCTTAATCCACCTAACCTTGAAACCCTGAAGCCTGACCCCTCCACCCATCATGTGCAGTTTTCTCCCCAATGTAAGGTTTTCCAGGTTTTCCAATTTATGATGTTACGGGTGGGCAGGGTTGTGCGATTGAGGGGATTTTGGGGTCCAAATACCAGACCCGGACATTAACGAAAGGTTCAACTGCAACGCCTCTACCTTTGCCAAAACTACATCAGGAGCACTATGCCTGTATGGCGCCCATGTGCGGGCGGAACTTAAGAGTCCCTAGCCCTACTCAGATTCATCCCTTTCCCGTAGTTCATCCGCCCCTCCACCGCCCAATATCGAAAATTCCTTACAGTAGCTAGCTCAAACATAGCTGGGGACAAACTTGGCAGTAGAGTTTGAGGATTGTTGAGAATTCATGTGAGCTATACTCTAAACTCCTGGTATCCCCCTAATAGCCCCTAGAGTACTCCCCTATATATCCCCCTTTAAGGAGTTTAGACCACTTCACGTAGGCACCCCTACAACTTTGCTTTCGTAGGTTGCCTTCCACCGTCAACCTTGCAGGCGGGACTTTGCCCAGGGGGCCGGGCTAGAAATTTAGGGTTTTAGGCTTTCGTTTTTGGTGGATTGGTTTAGGGTTTTTTCAGTTCAGGTTTTTTTGGGTAACCCTAAACCCTAAACCCTCAAGGCTTATTCTTTGGAAGCTTTTTCCTGTTGTAACCCTGGAGAGGAACTCCGAAGCCTCCCTAGAAATCCTATTGGGCGCGCCTTGTTTTCTGTCCCCACAGAATTTTTGTATTTTCGACCTGAAAGAGTCCGGTATTTTAGTTATGGAGGTCCGGAGGTGAGGCTTTAGCGGGACTTAGGACTCAAAACCACCACCTTCAACCTTCAACCTTCAACTCTCAACGCTGAACCCTCGACGCCACACCCGACACTCTAATTACACCCTAAGCCTTCAACCCCACCTAAGCCCTGAAGCCTCAAGCCTAAACCCCTTAACCTTGTGCCTTGGAGAAAGGTCCCGTAAGAAAAAGCCCCAAATCTAAACCCTAAACCCTGAACCAACCCTAAACCCTAAACTCTAAACCTTAACCTAGACCTTAGACCCAAAACCCTAAACCCAAAACCCTCGATAACCTGTCTGAACCTCGGCTGTCCAGACGCCGCCTGCTTCGATGCGGGTAGCGGAAGTCAAAGGCTTGGCGACCTGGGAGTTTTTTGGGGCTTGAGGGTTTAGGGGTTTAGGGATTAGGGTTGGCCTAGGGCTTAGGGTTTACATAGGGTTTAGGGTTGGTTTAGGGTTTAGGGTTTGGGGGAGAAATCCCCTAATATGAAGGGTTCAGCGTTCAGGGTTAAGTTAAGGGTTTGCCCAGAACACCCCAAATTGGGGCCATGGAGGGGTTACAAGGGAGGCAAAGGATTGTAAGTTTAGGGTTCCACATTGGAAACCATCATAGTTCCTAGAATTTCTCAGATGCTTAGTATTTGGGTAGGTGGTCTTAAGCCTCATGGGGCCTAAACCTTAAAACCCAAACGCCAACCCCTAAACCCTAAACCCCAAACGCCAGTCTGTACGCCTTTTATTGCTCAAGCTTGGCAGCCGCAGTTCACTACTACATTGATGCCTCATAGCCTCCAGTGAAAGGATTCTAGGTGTGTATATATATATATATTTGCGGGTTTCCCATAATTGGGGTACTTTTTTGGGGGCCCCTATAACAAGGACTATAGCATCTTGTGTTTATATTGGGGCCCCCTACTTAGGGAAACTAATATATATATATATAACTTAAGGCTTTAGAGTCCAGGGTTTTTGGTTGAGCCTCCAGCCCTGAACCCTCCACCTGCAAACCTAAACCCTAGGACAGTTGTGAATGATCTTGCTCAACAGCAGCCAACTGGCAGCAAGTGGAGAAAACAAGGAAGTGGTTTCCGTGGTTGGCCGGTCTGCACTTTCTTGAGGAGGATTATAACTATGGGGCACAATCCTAGCATCCCTGAGACAGCCTCAGATGGTTCTTATCCATCTGGTGTAAGCACAAGCCCCGAGAAGATGCTAGTCCCAGAGCCCTAAACCCAAAATCCCAGCCCTCCCAACCCCCTACACCTTACATCCTGAATCCCACAGAACCTACCCAACAGCCCTAGGCCCTAAACCTGAACCCACCCCCATGCACATCTCCTGGCGAGGCTTGATCGCTTGCGTGGCAGGTCGTCCTCCGCAATGGTTCACTCGGGAAGTGTCCCGGCCAGCATGCAGGCGGGGTTATATTGGGATTATATTGGTGATATTGGAAAAGAGAATGGAAACCATTAAGCTGGATTACACAGGGTTTAGGGTTTAGGGTTCAGGGTCTGCTTCAGGGCATTGTAAGGAAGCGAGAAACTCGTTCTGAACAAGCCTACCCTCCCCTAAGCCCTAAATCCAAAACCCTATCAAGAGGCCCTGCAAAGACAACCGTCCGCTTAAGTGGCTCTACATGGGGTTCTATGTTGGCTTGTGGAGAGTGTATCTCATTGCAGAGGACAACCTGTATGTGTGGGGGGAGAAGCTCAACTACTTTGATATGAATCTGGTGGCATCTCTACGTGCCTTGAACGTAAAACTCAATTTGGCGAGCTTCGCGCGAAAGCAGGGAAAGTTCTTTTTGAACTCGCCGTACGGACTGGAGAGCAGCCCTAAGTACTTCATACCCGGTGAACGATGGTATTATATATATATATTTTTTTTTTCTGAGGTCATGCTGGATTGTTAATATCAACATCCTGGCTCTGAAGCCTATAAACTACACACCACTTCCCCTTTCATTGTTACATCCTTCTTTTGTATCATAGAAAGCATGGTCTCCAGTATCAATAGAAAGTCGTGCCCATTCTTTCCGGATCAAGAACCGTTACCGACAAACACCGCCTCATTCGTAATCGGAGTGGCGGTAAGCAGGGAATAAGGGAATATAAGGTATAGGGAATACTACAACCAAAAACCTTACATGTCGGAATGCTTGAAGACATGAGGTCTTCACTCCATACAGCACGAGGTTTGAATACTGCAAGCAACATCCACAACCCAGAAAAGGCGCCACAAAGTCGCTGGAATCTGGGCGCTTAGGGCTTGAACCTTCAGGGTGTCAGTAGAGGTGTGCGCCTGCAAACCTGTTTGAAGTCTGAGAGAGCCCACTTCCCCGTAGTTCAAGAACATTCTCTACAAATGATGCGAGGATCCCTTACATGACTAGGGTATATTCCTTGCTTACCTCGTTTATCCTGGTCTGAGGATCCATCTAGCACCGAAGCCCAAACCTTCAGCATCTTGGCAACCGGCGCCTGTAGGGTGTGGGCTTTGTTTCCCTCTGGGCTTCCCATAGGTTTCATTTATTTAGGGTGGATCAAGGGTGAACCGTGGGGGTAGGATAGGAGGAGTGGTTAGAACAATCTGAGAGGAAATGTTGTTTATTTCCCTGAGTTTGTCTTTTTCAGGTTTGCTAGGGATGAGTGAAGTGATCCTGTGGCGTCGTCCGTGTCTGCACGCAAGCCAACAGATGCCATTTTGGACTTATGCTCAACCCTCAATCTGTCAAGGTCCCCATGAATCTGAAGGCCTCGAAACCGCCAGGGTTTGAGAACATTTAGGGGCTGGGGTTTAGTGTTGAGGGCTTTAGGGTCTACGTAGGGGAACCGGGTCTAGCGATTAGGGGATTAGGGTTTAGGGGTTGAAGGTTTAAGGTTTACCCTGCTCAGAAGGGTACCTAAGCAGAAAGCTCCGTAAACCCCACGAAAACCTTGTGTATGGGACTGGAATTCCATCAATCTTACTGAGTACTCACTGGTGCTTCCGCAGGAGTGGAGTAGGGAATACAAGTATTATTTAGTTCTACAGGGCTCATCACTTAGAATTGGATGGGGCGCCACTCGTCCACCCCCCGTTGAGCACCAATCAGTAAGTCAGTAGGTAAGCAAGTAGGTAGCTGTTGGAATGCTAGCTCAGGCGATGCTGTCCGTGGCTTGATGCAGCAAGCACAGGCGATGCGTTTCACTTCAACGTTGACATAAGATGTCGGAGTTGCGGAGAGGGGTCAACTACTTGCCTTTCTCAAACCCTAATTCACCATGGTGCATTCCCACGCACTTAGCTGTAGTAGTTATGCTTCTTTGGGTCTTGGTCTTGGGGATTTGTGGCCTTTCTTTGTCGTAATTATTAACTTGCGGCCTGGTTTAGCAGGAAGACATGCGTGCTAATGGGTTGGAGAGATTTTCCAACTCAGGTAGACCCAAACTCCCAACCCTGAGCAGCCCCGGGCTCCCTTGCAATTCCCATCTTAGAGTCCCTCTTAGGCTTCTGACGGGTCTGCTCTAATTCGGGGCTCGTCTAGGAATCTATCCTGCCAACAGCAAGGAAGCCTGTGATCCAAGGTTGAGCCTTGTAGCCCTAGGCTGATCATTCAGATTCGCTATGGGCCTAAACAGGCTTTGGGGCACATCAAAACATTCCATTGTAGTTATCCAAGGCTTTTGCCAGGGATGTATTGGTACGCATTTGCCTTCTACCGATTTTGAGAGCCATGGTAGCGATCTGAGTTTCTTGAACTGTTGTTACCACAGGTGCCCGCGTCAGCATGAGTGCTCGGATAGTTGGCATACCAAAGTTTAAATGAGTTGTTGATTCGGCATCCTTTCAGCAGGGCATCCGTGCTCTTTACGAGGCATCCAAGGCCTGTAAAAAGATGGTCAGGCGTTGACGAGGGATTGGTTGACGAGTCCCAAATGAACTCAAGCATGAGTGAGCGACGGGCTCCTGTCCTGAATCCCATCGTTGCTGCGCGAAGGCCATGGGAGCAAATGGTGTCCTGGGAGCCCCTTGGATGAAGCTAAATCCTAGACCCGGAGCAAGATTAAAAACATTATGCTCCCCTAAGACCTTACGAAAGCCCTGCAAAGCTGTGGCATCAGGGTTTCACAGCTTGGGCGCGTAGCTTTCCTGAAGATGGAATTTTCCAATCCGCTCCCAGCCTTCCTTGTGGGAGTGAGGGAGTGAATCCCTCTCCGGATCCCTAAATCGCCCACATGAAGGCAGTAATCTGGGTTGCTGTTAAGGGATTTAAATTAAGTTACCATAATGGGTATATATAGTAAATAATAGGGTTTCCCAATATAGTAACTTAAATTAAGTTCCTTAACAGCAACCCAGTAATTCTGGCTACCAGACTTCACTCCGAACCTTGAAGCCCTAAACCCTCAAGCCCTCAAACCCTTCAGGGGGAATGACCCAACTGGAACCTAAGTTTGATGGTTGTCAGTGCTCCCTTAAAACCTTAGGTTTAGCTCAGCGTTTAGGACTAGGGTGTAGGGTTTAGACTCAGACTTGCGGACCCCTGCCCAACAGGAGACCGATCCGTTTAGGGTTTAGGGTTTAGGGCCTCCACCAGAATCATATTTACTAGAGCTTAGCAGGGAAGAAGTGAATAAAGTATATGAGGATCCTGTGGCGATGATATTCCCTTATTCCTTACTAACCACCAGTAAGCGTAATCAAGGGAGGGAATTGTCTCTTCTACTGCACCAGTGCTTACTGACGCAGGTGCCATTTGTACCATGTTCCTGTCTATATACATTCAAGGTTTCGAGCCTGAAAAATTCCACCGCTGATGACGATGCCAATAATAACGCGTCCAATACGAAGTTCTCTTTGCAGCAAATTCAATGCAAGCTAGTATGGGTTTAAACACGCTCGCGCGACCTACTATGAAACGGTCACATGCAACATATAGTAATAGGTCAATAGGTCAGGTTTCTACAGAAGTTATCGAAAAGAGAGAGAGTGAGAGAGAGGGAGGGGGAATACCCCCAGGGGGTAGTAGTACCTCCTTTAGCCATTGAAGAAGAAGAAGAGAGAGTGATGCGGCCAAGGTGAAATGGATGCATGACAACAACCGCTTTGTGTCGCAAGCCGTGGGCACCGCAGCTCCTAGACAGAAGCAGGCTTCAGTACCTGGTTTAGGGTTTAGGGTTTAGGGTTTAGCAACAACAACATCTACTTCGAGGTTCCCAGAAGTACTTACCCCTAAACCCTAAAATAGCAGTTTCCATCTTCTTTCCCAGTATCTCTATGTAACCCTTATATAACTCCTAATATGACGCCTTCGAGGTTCCTAGAAGGACTTGGGTCTGTGACCTCCCTAAATATTGGTTTTCGGATACTGTAGACCCATGATTAATAACCCTCCCCCTTCCCCCTTTTAAGGGCCTTAACATTAAGATCCCTATTCTAATCCCCATTGAGGGGAGGGGGTTTATTGGTCAGGGGTCTACATTTTTGGGTAAGGTTCATGGGTCACAAGCTAATTCTTTCACCAGTGATGCTTGTGAAGTCCGGCGTGCCTTCATGCACTGCAATTTTTTCATGGCTCTCGTAAATGATCCAAATGTCACGAAAGACCACTTCATCTGCAATGAAAGTCTGCTCAAAGGAACTGCAAACTAATTGCTTCCAAAATTCATTGGCTGCAAGTGATAGCTACCCAAGTGAACATACAAGTGCGAGCACTTGGTACCAGGACACTGAGCTAGAGCCCCCCCGCCCTCCAGTTTCTTCTGCATGCCTGTTTGCTAGTTGCATAGGAGCCACTAGCATTTTCTGATGACTTTATCCTGCCGGCATAATGTAGTCCCATGCTGATGCCCAAGTCTTGCTCTTCGTCTCCAAAGCTGAGGTCGTCCTCGGCAAGGAGCCGCAGAGCAGGACAGTTGTGCAACATATCCTCGATTGGAGCAATCCCCTCCCTCCGATATCAAAAGCACCCCAGATGACATCAAACGTTCCCATCGTGGTCTATTGTAATATGTTGGGGAGATTTAAGGGAGTGGGGGTTTGATATTAGGAGAGGTGATTAGCTTGTTGCAGTGTGTTAGCCTGGGACTGTTGCCTAAAAACTTAAGTGGAGGTTCCCGAAAAGCAGGGGCCCTTTTTGGCGGTCTCAATAGCAAGAGCTATAGAAATCCTTGGTCCTTCTGAGTGATGGTCATAGTGCCGAACAATCAGGATTACTTGATGATAAGTAATTGCAGCGAGTAATAATATTATTTTGTATTTTCATTACCATTATTGCTGTTATTACTATTACCATTTATCATGATTATTACTATTATTACTATTATAAGGCTAAATACCTCAGCCGGCGCTGCTGCTCAAAGTCGCATTTTAGGCTTTAGGCTTTGAAACATCATGGAGTTGCCAGCCACCAACCGCCACAGAATTTGTCCGCACTCTCACATCAACAATTGGATCAAGAGCTCGGGAGCTAGCTGGCTCAGTGCCGCAGGCACGGGACAGGCTCTTTCATGGCACCAAAATTTGGGTTGCTGTTAAGGAACTTAAATTAAGTTACTCTATTGGGGAAACCCTATTATTTACAATATAGACCCATTATGGTAACTTAATTTAAGTTCCTTAACAGTAACCCAGAAATTCGGGAGGCCATGACTGAAACCATGGTTCAACCCTAAGCCCTAAACCCTAAACCCTAAACCCTAAGCCCTACACCATGGTTCAAGTCCACCTTAAGCAGTCACCATCGTGGACGTTCCCTGCCCCCGCGGCCAAGTGGCTACCTTCACATGAGAAAGGCGGTGCCGTTTCAGACGATTTGTGAAGATTGACCTGAGTTGAGGACGCTAAAACTCAGGTTGGGCCCCCACCCACTAATAGTGACCACAAGAGGTAATGGTAATTATATTAAGGTTCTTATATATTTCTAGTATACCACTATTACTGGGTGGGGGCCCAACCCAAGCTAAAACTGATAGAGCTGTTTTCCAGTACAAAGGAGACGTTGTAACATTCCTAAGGAGGCAATCTGATTGGGCCCAACCCTACAAAAAAATTAGAATCCTTTGTAAGAAGGACCACACATTTTGATACCAAGACATGCAGGGCAGCTCTTTAACCTCAAGGGCAACACCCACTCATCTGGTGGAAGCTCACTCTCCAGCCGAATGCCGCAGGCAGAAAATGTAAAACTTTTAGGGTCCAGGGTTTAGGATTTAGGGTCCTTGAAAAATTCTGAAACAATAGTAGACCTGCGAAGGGATCGCTTTGCCCACTTTGAGATCCCTCATGCTCCAGCATCATTCCTCAAAATGATTTTCATTTGAACGTCAAGAGTGTCTCTACGGTCATGTTGTCCAATCCCGACTTATCCCCTGCACTCATCCTTGTTTGGAAGAACCAGCCAGAACTCGAACTTGAATCCTGAAATCCCATACGAAAACCCAAAATCTCAGCTCTACACCGATGGTGCGTGCCCGCAAGACGATAACTTGCTCGAGGATCTACGCGGAGCTTCCGCCCCCCGGTCCGGCGATTTGCTCAACGCTCCGGAGCGTGGGTTTGCATTGAGGGTCACCACAGACGACATGTGGAGGAAGTTTGGTGTGCATAATGTGGTTCCCCTGGGTTGTAAAGAGTTGGCAAGGGTTTCGCAGGATGAAGGGTGAAGGGCGGTAAAGGGATGAGGTCCAGGGTTTTGTGGCTTGTTTTGAGGGTATGGCAGTTGGATTCTGAAGGGGACATCGTGTGAACTTTCAGGGCTTGTTCGGCTTGTGGCTTCTAGGATTTATGGTTTAGAGGTTCCCACGCCCTCCTCATGATGCTAATTCCCGCCCGTTTTATAATGCTATTAGACTGGAAGTACTCGTGAATAGGAGGTGGTGGTGTACCTGAAGCCCCAAACCCTGAACCGCGTTTGGTAGAGGCTTGAGAGTGAGCGCAGGGCAAGACTTAATGTTTCGTGCAATAGTAGTCTTGTGTTCAGGGTCCTGAATTTGTTATTGGTCTCTTGCGTGTAGAAAAGGGCCGTGCGAATCCTTGAACATTAATCTCCCAGTACATACGCTTCTGTTTCCGGGGCTGCTGCCCTAAGCCATAAACCTAAACTGTGTGGTCGGTCTTTGGTCTTCCTGCTGTGGTTCTGCGCTCGTACAAAACTCTTTCAAGACTTGTCGACAGACTTCAGAATCCTTCAGAACCTCTGATTCGTCTCAAGGTGCTTCCACGTTTGACCTTGTTACCCTAAACCCTAAACCCTAAACCTTGTTACCTTTTTCTGCAAGATTTGTTTTTGCACCCTGGGGCGTTGCTTTCTCAAGAAGCTCTAACAGGTTATCCCTGAAAAAGGTAGACCCGACGGTAATCTATGTAACCCTAAATGGAGGGTTCCCAAAATTAAGGGTACCCTTTTTGGGGAGGGTTATAGTATTTGGGAATCTATATTGGGGTCCCCTTATTTTGGGAAACTACCAAATATATAACCCCATTATGTATAGTAGTTTCCATTTTCTTTTCCATTATTCCAATGCTGCCCCAATAGAATCCTAGGTTAGAGGCAACCCAAGTTACGACCAGGTGTGTTTGGCAATATGCCTAACTAGCAGCAATCCTCGCAAAGCTAACCGTCATGCTTTGGAACCATAGGTAGAAACAGAGTGCAGACCTAAGGCGCCAGCAAGGTTCATGTATATACCCTCCCCAAGTATATATGGAAGATGATATGGTCTCCTCTTACAATAATAGTTGTCTTTGTAGTTTTTTTTGGACTTCCGTATTTGCTTGAGGGAGGGTACTGGTTGCATCAGGCACAGTCTCCTCTGCCATGGAAGCAGTAAATGAAGCCCTGAAGCCCAGACCTCGAACACCAGCTTTGGGGTTGCAGGGAAATAGGGCTTAGGGAACAGGGAACAATGCCAGCAGGTCCTAACCTTGGACACATCCCCTTGAACTATTCCCTTGAACCACCCCCCAAAACTCACCCTAAACCTAAACCCTGAATCCTAATCCTGGACTCCCAAGCTTTACACGCAGATTATAGTGGTTTCCAATTTCTTTTCCATTATCCCTATATAACCCCAACAATCCCTATAGTTTCCATTTTATTTTCCATTATCCCAATATAACCCCAATATAAGGACAGACGTGTAGAACCCTGTATTGCAGGACTGCGCCTGAGGGCTTTGCCGTGTCCTCGACTTTGGGCCCGGACACCAAGCTGGGTTGCTGTTAAGGAACTTAAATTAAGTTACCATAATGGGTATATATATATATAGCAAATAATAGGGTTTCTCCAATATACTAACTTAAATTAAGTTACCATAATGGGTATATATATAGTAAATAATAGGGTTTCCCCAATGTAGTAACTTAAATTAAGTTACCATAATGGGTATATATAGAAAACGGTGTAGATAATAGGGTTTCCCCAATATAGTAACTTAAATTAAGTTCCTTAACAGCAACCCAGCAAGGGGTTTAGGGCTTGGGGTTCAGTGCAAATTGGGAGTTAGGCTTGAGGTTGCACAGGTGGGAGTCGTACGGAGATCAGATATGGGCCATGGGTACATATGAGCTATAGTCTAAACTCCTTAATAAGGGGTTATATAGGGGATTATATAGGGGACTACTATAATGCTTATTAAGGGGGATACTAGGAGTTTAGACAATGGCTCATATGACTTTTGAGAATTCTCCAGGGGTTTGTGGTGATTTGTTCAGAGATAGCAAGGGCGTTACATGAGCCGTGCGGATGTCTGGTTGACACCTGAGATGTAAAGCGTCCCTAAACCCTAAACCTCAGCCCTAAAACCCCCCTGAACTCTACATCCTAAACCCTGAACCCTAAAACCCTAAGCCTTAAACTTTAAATCCTAACCCTGAGCCCCTAAACCCTAAGCCCCAAATCCTAAACCCTAAAGTCCTTAAACCCCTAAACCCCCAAACCCCCAAACCCCAAACCCCTAAACCCTAAAGTCCTTAAACCCTAAGCGGCCTTGGGAGGCATTGTGACCGCAGCGGCTCTTAGCCCGTACCGCGACTACGGCCGTGGCGGCGGATATTCGCGGAACAATCAAAGGACCACAAGGGCTTTAGGGCCTCTACAGGGCTTCAGGGTTTAAGGTCTTAGGATTATTTTAAATGATTTTAGGATTTTTAGGGTTTTGGGGTATAGGGTTAAGGTTTCTTGGCTTGCAGTCTGAACTAGGGACTTGCTAAAGATACTTCGTACTCATATTTCGGCCTGCACCCAGTAACAGTCTATAGTAGAGTGCTATATACAGGTTCGTATCATAATTTTCATCCACTGTTGCTGATGCTGCAAAGCTTTGGTCTCTTCTTGATCCTAAGTCAGCAGCTAAGCCCACTTGAGTAGTGGTTTATTTGGGGATACTATGGTACCCAATATAGAGTAAGATTATATCCTCCTTTTGGGGTATAGTATTTTATGTAAGAAACATTATCTTACTAGGTTCAGCCGCCACCAAAAAACACTACTCACTTGTTGGGAGGGTTGCAGGAGCAGATTCCGTACCTCCAGCCCTACGGGTTTAGGGTTTAGGGTTTAGGGTCCTACAGAATTGTTTCCCTTGACTTATCTGCTGTTCAGAAATCCATTGTGGGATGTTGCACGGTTTAAGGTTTAGGGTGTAGTTTGTTTGCAAGATATCCTGTTGCTGTTGAGGTTTTCTCGCAAGGCAGTGGCCCCTTTTGGGACTTTTTGGGGCAGGTCGGCCATATCGGGATCTTAAGGAAATGATCTGGTTACCCTCAAAGGTTGGGCTTTCATTGGAACTCCCAAAAATGCAGTACTGCTGTGCCTCTAATCTTTGGCAGCATGCTTGGTTTTTGTTCTAGCTTGGGGTCCCCCTACTTGGTAGTTTTCAAAATGTGGACCCCAATATAAACGCCAATGTACTACAATCCGTATTATGATGACCCTCAAAATGGAACCTCTAATTATGGGAAACCCCCATTGTAGGGAAACCCCTAAACCCTAAACCCTGAATCCTAAACCCTAAACCCTAAACCCTAAACCCTGAATCCTAAACCCTAAACCCTAAACCCCAAAGCCTAAACCCTAAACCCTAAACACGAATCCTTGGG